TCTACCCGTCTCCCTATCCCCGGCTGAACAGTGGTAGAGAAGCCAACATCTGCTGGCCTCTTCCACCCATGACAAGTAGTCTGTAAATCTGCATGGCACCACAGGCTCTTCCAACTCGCCTGCACATTGCTACTTTTTCATTTTGAGGCTCCGTTGCTACCAAATCCTTTACTGTTTGATATACTGTAAACAATGACTGAGAGTTAAAAGTCGGGTTTGTTTTTTTTTTTTTTTTTTAATTTTTTAATTACCTTGGCAAGTTCAGAACATTTATCTTCTCCTCCTCCAAGATGAATTGCAATATTTTATAAAATGGCTAGCTTCATGATGAACTGCCCCTCAAAACACAACATTTAAGTTTTCTACTTAAATACAAGAACATGAATATGTGATGTGCTCTGATCTTTAAGGGAAATACAAAATCATTCTACCCAACACAGAGAACGCAGTTTCTACCAGGTAACTGCAGTTTTCTAAGGGTTAGCTTGTTCTTCCAACACTCTTTATATAAAGCAAAATATGTAAGCCCTTTGAACTTGCAGTTCTCAGGAGGCACATGGCATCTAAAGAGTATCAGAAATGCCCTTAATCTGTTTTATTAAAAGACAAATCTAAGGATTGAGATTATGCTGCAAAACTAAAAAATGCCTGAAGACATCCAGCCATGTTTTAGAATGATGGAATTGTTTAGGTTGGAAAGGACCTTTAAGATCATTAAGTCCAACCATAAACCTAGCATGGGCCACCTCTAAACCATGTGCCTAAGCACCACGTCTACACGTCTTTTAAATGCCTCCAGGTGACACCAAAGATTAAATAATTCAGCTAAATTAACAGAAGAGCAGGCACATTTTTTAGCCTGGCATCTCAAGGTTAGGAAGCATCAAGAAAAAGAACAAATGATAGAAGAAGGGACATTGTTATCTAAGACAGTAGGCAAGAATCTGGAGACAGGCCTCCAAGAGAGGGAGTTCTAGACATGAAGGGAGCCAAGCTGATAAAACATTACAACCCACAGACATCAACAATAAAGTAGCTGAAAGTCGGACAGAGGTAATTGCAGTAGTGGGAGATCATGAACTCCAACTCAAATGGCTCCCCCGAAAGAGGGCAAAACCCCGCTTGGCGAGCATGCGTAAATACAGAGGCTTCATTAGTGCTTACTGAGGATGCGTACTAATTTACATTAGAAGAGAGAAACTTATAACCAATCCTAAGTGTGAATAACAATGAATATGTAGTGTACTATGAATATGCAAATGTCTCATGGTATATAATATCTATCTTCATTTTACTCAGTGTGCAAGTTTGGAGGAGCGATCCCTCTTGCACCCGGCGCCGAAATAAACATGCCTGCTTTATAATTCTCCGCGAGTTGTAGGGTTTGATTCCCCATGTCACAGGGATGGTGACTCAACTGTGTTTTATACTAGTTTAAATCTTTACATGTAGATGTTCACCTTGAAATGCATCAGCTCCTAGCATTTGGAACAAGATAAACACGAT